TGGACGATATTCCAGGTCGGAAATCGCATCCTCGTTGAATCGACAAACTCGAATCTCAAATTCGGCATCCTCATTTGCTCGATCGCGTTCTCCTGGCCGTGGCGTAAGGGATCCGTTGCTTCTTAATGAACGTGCAGATTTTACTGACATTCCTGGCGTAAAGATGCTATCAATGGCTCCTGGCTGGCCCTCAACGCCAAGACTGCCGGTGAGCGGTCGATCACAATGGCACTTCACATCATGGCTGCAAACTGTTCCGGAATTATCGGCAAGCAGCTGTTCCGCTCCGAGGATGCCCCTCTTTACAAAACTGGATTCTCAGTGATTACGGGCCTGTCTGCCGCGGCTCTTGTTCTGTCGATTGTGGCCAACGTCCAGTATTACTTCTTGAATGACCGACAATTGCGCAAAACCGGACTCAAGTTCATGTACTAAGAACATCAGTCCAGACGAGAATGCAGACCCTGGTTCACGGTCCATGGTCCATCTGTTAGCAGGGCTCTTGAGAGTTCGATAGAAAGAATCTGGCATATTGAACTACCGAGGTAGACAAGTGTTATGGCCACCTAGCAGTAGTACTACTTTAATCGTCGACTTTTCCAAGCTCGGCTTCCAAAGCGTCAGCCATCTGGCCGAGAGTGTCGTACTTCCAATCCCAGATCTCCTGATCTCTGTTGCCCATGACGGCACCTGGACGGATGATCCATGATGACTTGATGCCTATCTCCTTTGCCGGATGATGGTCGTGAAATTGGCTCTGTGCAGTCTGAATAACATGTTCTTTGTCCACCCCAAACCTTTCTTTGACTTCCCGGAGCATATGTACGAAATTTTGCAGGTTCGGCTTGTAACTACCAACATCCTGAGCGGTGATGATAAGGTCGAAAGGCACGCCCTGAAGTGGTCCCTCATTTGACCCCTTGAACGATTCGCGGTCAACATTGGACAAGACAACGAGCTTGTAGTGGGACGAGAGCCGTCGCAGGGCGTCAACAGTATCAGGGAAAGCGGGCCAAGAGCTGACGGAGTTGCCGAAAGCTTCGCTCTCGGCCGCAGTCGGGGCTGCAAGCCCAAGCTTGGTCGCAATCTGGGGATGAATTGTGGCAAGCAGTTGAGCATACTTCAGCTCCGGTGTCTTGACTTGCTGGGCAGCCTCGCATTCATGGAATGCATTGAGGAGATGCGATCGAGAGATTGAAGCGGAGTTATCGTCTAGGAGAGGCTGAAGAGCGGTGAGCGCACCTTGCTCCCAGTCAATAAGCGTGCCATAGACGTCAAACGCAAGTAATTTGTAGTCGGAGATCTTCGACATGACGCTGGAACGAGTTAATGTTGCTGATGATGGTCGTAAAAGTAAATGGGTTCTCCAGCTTTGGTGCAAGTCCAAGAACACCCGAGTGCTTGAGTATTTGGACTTATATATTGATTCGTCAACGTTCGAAGGGCCAATGCTCGTGATGGCTCAGTTGATTCGAAGATTCGAGACTCTTGTTGAAGGCATATCGACAGCGCGCCCTTTCCCCGCAACTAATGTCATTCTTTACCCCTCACAGCGGAGGTGCGGCCGTGTGGGTCCTGACCCGGGCCGGCGCCTGGTTCAGAAGCCGGTATATTGCCGGTCAAACCCGCATGTCGACCGACAATAAACTGGCATAGATGATCTACAAACCGTTGTCCATATCATTAGGACCGCCTCCAATGGTCCATTGGGGGGTTGAGCGGGGGGGGGGGGGCATTCGGTTTTCGATCGATCCAACGCTTGTCGCACGTTCATACTTTGCGTAGATTTGACCTCATTTGGATTTTCCAGCCATATCTCACGCGTGTTGAAGCCAATGTAATCGATTCCAAGTCTATTAACCACCCACAACGCAGGAATTAGAGCCACGCCCCAAACAGCGAAGTTGATGTCACCGGCAACCGCAAGCTACAAGAACGTCAGTAGAGTCACTTTTTTTCAAGCCAGGGCAATCACACGAGTGGGGTCGAGCTGATGCCGGAAGAGATGCATTGCCCTCCACCTTCCAGGGCTTTGACGTGGCTTATGGGGCATGTGAAATCAGCAGGCTCCGTTGCTAAATGCCCAAAAGCCAGGAGCCGTTGTTATACGTTATAGCCCAATTCACTTGCCAGATGACAT